TAAGCCATCATTATGACTTAGGTTAGATGTGTCATCAGTGATGATACGCATAAAATAAAGACAACAATTTGGTTAAGCCCAGGATGCACATGTTGAGGACTATATATGCATCCTTTGAGATGTATAAATAAAAGGTTAGCATAGCCACTGTAAAAACTGCATGGTCTGCATGGTCTAAAAGTCACCATTTTCATGGATGTTTCTTCTGTGTTTTGTGCTGACCATATATTTCTATTTGTACAGCATAAAGGAAAAAAGCAAAGTAACTGTCATGGATCATTTGTTTTAATGGAAGCCAATTATTTTGAGGCAGACACATAATGACTTGTAAAAAACTTTGATTATTGTAAAATCATTGTCATTCATGACTTATTGTTGGTTTGACATTTATTTGTGGGTGGTCACTTGGTAATTAATGATTCAATAAAATAAATGTTGTCAGCTGTTATTAAACTAATGTTGTAATCCCATGTAGTTGCTGCATATGTGGATGAGATGCCAGCACACACCTATTAAACTAATGTTGTCTTCCCATGTAGTTGCTGCATATGTGGATGAGATGCCAGCACACACCTATATCCCAATTGGATTGAAAGGAACTATTACATGCAATATAAGGGCTAATCCGCCATTCACTGAGGTAGTTTGGACCAAGGATTGGGTGCAGTTAGATAATTTAAATGGTTACAATATAGTTGCTAATGGTAATTTGGTCATAATGGAAGTGGGATTACAAAATGAAGGACGATATACTTGTACGCCGTATAATAATCTTGGCAGTCGTGGTGAATCCCTGCCAACTAATGTACATGTAAGAGGTAAATCTACCTTACTGGTTCTAATTAAAATCCATTCTCAGATAAACCACACCTGACCCACTTTTGGGGGTAACAGTCCACTATGCGTTCATGACTTTCAACATTCCTTAAACTGTCTATTCATAAAAGCTGATTATTAGATATTGTTTGACTTTTCTGGTAATTAAATTACAGCATGGATATCAACTGCTGTGAATATGGTGTAAACTATGTGTGAAAGTGAACCAGTGAAATTCATTCCACAAAAGTTTACCTTTCAAAAATTTTTGATCACCATTAACAGATCAATAATTGACTTTTGCATTGCATTACAAGAATGCTGTTCTATGTGCCCACCCTCTAAAACCCTGGGTGTTATGTCAAATGAGTATGGTATGATATTTTAGCAGAACTCCAAACCATACTCGGTGTAGGGTTTAAGTTTTCTTATGATGGATCTTTTTCCAACACATAATTTGTTTTTTTAGATCCTCCTGTATTTATAACTAGACCAAGATCTATATACCAAAGAGAGCTGGGTCAGCAAGTCACCTTCCAGTGTGCAGCTCAAGGAGATCCCAAACCAACTATTAAATGGACGAAGGTGACAGTTGTTTTTATACACTGTTAAATCTTATTACATGCAATTTCTCTCAAACATTTCTCTTCAAAATATGTCAGTGTAGTTCAAAAAAAAATTGAACATGATTGAAATTGAAGCATAATAGAAATTATTGCTATTTTATATTTGTGAGCTTTAGGGATCATACACTGTGGCATCATTGTTTACATTTTTGTCAACTATCATATGAATGTTTGATACCAAATGTCACGTAAGCTTGTGTTCTGCAATAACATTGCCTATAAGTTCTTTTATTAACAGAACACATACATGTGTAATAACAACAGCACACAACACTGTTATTTTATTTTCAAGTACAAGTGATAGGTTCTTGTCAACCAATGTAAGCAACTGAGGAAGCTTATTATTCGCATTCTTCAGATTATTCAACAATTTGAAGTATGTAAATGTATGGAAAAACAGCCATTGCGAGTGTCGCTGCGAGTTCACAATGGCAAAAAAACAGTCGACTGAGAGTTCACAATAACACATAAAACAAAAGGCTGATTTATATTGTTGAGCATTGCTGTTTGAAACGTTGTGTGAACCATCAAAGTTTAGCCGACTGTCAACCAATGGTAGATGTGGATTCACGCAACCCTGCTGTTACATTGTACCAAACATGAAGCGGAGAGATTTGACACAGCGTAATAAAAGTCAAACTCTCTTGCGAGGACGTTTCATTTGGTGAATTATTTGAGGGAAAAAAACGTTGTGACAGGATGTAATTCACAGCGTTCCACACAGCCATTGTATTCATAGTTTGAATTACAAAACGACCCGAACGTGGCGTGCAGTCTGCAGACAGTGATACGTCTCACCGGCAAACTGCACTGCAATCTGAAATACAAATATAAAAACCTGGGCGTGATTTTATTTTTGTTGTCCCGTTGCTCCATGGTCTAACCTATGATTGTTGCGAAAAAAGTCAACTCGGTTCCCGGGGTAGTTGTTTATTTGAGGTGTTACTAATCACTTCCATGTGTTGCAGAAACCCTCGTAATTTATTTATTTACAAGCTAACACTAATCACCAGAAGTCAGAGATACTTCAATAAAATATTGATCAGAGCTACGCAGACACTCCGTAAAGACAGAACTTATAACGGAGCTAATACGTATACTGTTACGTATCATATATATTTGCCATCCTCTTATCGTTGAACTATATCGTTATTACCATGTGGATACATATATTTTTCATGTTATTCAACCATAACTTCGCTTCTTTTTATCTGATTTATTTCATTGTTGTATGTAATTATCAGTGTCTTTTATCTTTAGTTATGTTATCAAGATTGAGTAGTTGCAGCCAAATTTCCTATAGATTTATTCCGTTTTCGTGACACAAAGAAACACATTTTGGCCTGTAATCAGCCATTTCTATCATTTTACATAAGTGTGTTCTCCCTGATTGGCTCAATTAAAACAACCAATCATATTAATTGACGCCAAGGATTGAAATTCTTGTCTTTTAATAGACAAAGAATGTTAATTAGGACAGACTTCATTCTTTGTACTCTAAGTGATACATTGTTCCAATTCGTCCTAGCGTATGTAGTTTTTCAACTAGCTTTATCTCTTTCCTGCACAACCGAATAAATGTGTGTTACCTATTAGAACATTGCACATTAGTATACCATCTACTGCTTGATGTATCTACAGTCTATCTGGTGAGATTTAAAGATCCTATACTGTTTGTGGCAGTTTCCCCCACAAACTACGATGCCACGGCCATGACCGGTAATATATGCACGCACGCTCTATATGGCGCTGGTGCGTTCGCTATGGTAAACAATAAGCAAACTCTTCACTCTCGGTCGCAGCAAAATTGTAACATTACTGACTGGCGACATAAATACTGATGCATAGAAATAGTAAAGATAATATATATTTGAGACGATGTTTCGTGAAAAATACGGTTAGAAAGCTACACATCAAAAGATCAAGTTGAGTTCATCGCCTGCTACAAATGTATGTGAATTCACGTCTGTGATTGGATAATCATTTGACACGTTGGTGAGATCCCATGCCCAGTTGATAAGTTTTATTTTTAGCATATAGTTTTTTCCCGAACGATTGTTTTCTGCATATGGCTCGCGATCGATCTTTTTTCGATGAGATAGTTGTTGGGTGTTTACTAACTACATACTTCAAGTTTCAGAAACAGATCATATAGGACTATGTGCATTCGTCATGACACAAAAACTGAACAGGAAACATCGAAGCTACGTTTGGAATTGACCTACATTTACTTCCCGTGGTATGGGCGGAGCTTAGTTGTTTAGCTCCGCTGTCGACTTTGTCGAGCGGAGCTTATCATATGAGTGATTGTCCGTCGTCGTCGTCTGTCGTCCGTGTCAATGTTTTACTTTTTCGACTTCTTCTTGAAAACTACAAGCCTGAATGCTTTGATACTTGGTGTATATGTACCTTGGGTAGACCTCTCTTAGGTTTGTTCATTTCATGTTGATATCTTCAATTCTCTAATTTTGGTGAATATTTTTGTCATTTTTGGTAAAAAGTGATATTTTCGACTTCTTGTTAAAAACCAATAGTTCAATTGCTTTGATATTACATATATAGATACTACATGTAGACCTTTCTCAGATTTGTTCATTTTGTGATGATATCTTCAGTTCTCTAATTTTGGTGAATATTTTTGTCATTTTTGGTAAAAAGTGATATTTTCGACTTCTTGTTAAAAACCGCAAGTGCAAATGCTTTGATATTACATATATAGGTACTACATGTGGACCTCTCTCAGATTTGTTCATTTTGTAATGATATCTTTAATTCTCTAATTTTGGTGAATATTTTTGTCATTTTTGGTAAAAAGTGATATTTTCGACTTCTTGTTAAAAACCGCAAGTGCAAATGCTTTGATACTACATATATAGGTACTACATGTGGACCTCTCTCAGATTTGTTCATTTCGTGATGATATCTTCAATTCTCTAATTTTGGTGAATATTTTTGTAATTTTTGGTAAAAAGTGATATTTTCGACTTCTTGTAAAAA